TACAGGGTTTCCAAGGCTATAAATCTTTATGGGAGCAGCAAGCCTCATCTTTCTCCTGTGGAACAACTGGTAGTTTCGAACTGCTGACCTTGAGGTCTGCAGCCAAATTCGTAACCACTATGCTACCAGAACTCCTTCTACACTACCAGAGCTCCTTACTTAGTAGCACATTAAGTTTTAATATAGTTTAAAAAAAAAAAAAAAAAACCACAAAAAAACCTGTCAACCTCTTTGCAAAAATTTACAATATAAAGAAAATATAAAAATGAATAGATGTACTCAAGTTGAATCTGAGTACATGGAATGATATTTGAGTCAAAGTCTTGGAATGGAATACTCAGTAATAAGCCTTTTTAAAGGCCTACCTGGTATGTGTCACTGTGGGTTAATGCGCCAGACTGCAAAGCCACTTGAACTGTAAGATCGGCAGTTCAAGCTCACCAACGGCTCCTCCGAAACCCTATATAGGGTCGCTATGGGTCGGAACCAACTCAACAGCATTTAACAATAACAACCCCTGGTGTGGCAATGTAGGATCAACATTGGACTGCAAACCACAAAGTCAACAGTTTAAACCCACCAGCTGCTCCTTGGAAACCGTATGCAGGGTCTCTGAGTTGGAACTGACTCCATGCCACTTAACAATAACAACACCAACAACAAGGGAGATCAGATTACTGCTAAAACTTTGGAGAGTGACACACATTCAAAGCAGTGTATTTGGTTGCCATCTTTGAGAGCAGTGCACTACTGCTGCCAACTCTGCCAGCAAAGAGATTTGATTGTTACACAATATTCATGCTACTCTTGTTTTCTAAGAGAGTGATTAAAATAAATAAATAAAAAACATTTTTGTAAAAAATTTACAATGTGAAGAAAATAGAATAATGAATATATGTAATCAACTTGAATCTACGTATTTGAAACTATATTTGGGTCAAAGCTTTGGAATGGGATACTCAGTAGTAAGCCTTCTTAGGAGCTTAATATGGGAGACTGTATCATTTTTCCATTCCAGTTATTGTTCTAGGCACCCATATTTTAAAATTTCTGGCCCATCCTAGTTTCATTTTGTTAGCCATGACTGAACTGTGAAGAACTGGTTCAAAGTCTGGCTATAATCACAGTTTACCAAGTATGTTGTGTTATGTGCCGTGGAGTCGGTTCCGACTCATAATGACCTTGTACATGGTTTCCGAGGCTATAAATCTTTAAGGGAGCAGAAAGTCTCATCTTTCTCCTCTCTTAAGCGGAACAGCTGGTAGTTTCGAACTGCTGGCCCTGAGGTTAGCAGCCCAATTCAAAATAATAATAATAAAAATAGTAATTTTCATTTAGAAATTCTAAAACCTTTTGTTAAATCCTTTTTTAAAAAAGAATTGTTTAGAATATAGTCATTTATAATTGTCACATCCTGAGACAGTTATATAGATTACTGTAGGGTCATCTAAGGAGTTTTGGTGTGATGCTGTACGATAAGCATTGTACTGTCAACCACAACAGGCAGTTCAAACCCACCAGCCACTCCTTGGATACCCTATACAGGAGCTACATCCTACAGAAGGAGGTCTAATAAACCAGACTGTTCATATAAAATTTAACCAGGAAATTCAATTTTCAATTCATTATAATGAAATGCAGATGATGAATAATCAACTTAATATTTTAGCTGTAAAATATAGAAATCTACAGTGAAATTCTTACCTCTGGTATTATAGGTGTAGGTTTTTTCTTATCCAAAACTTTTGGCTTTAAAATGACCTTTTCTACTTCCAACATTCCTATTGGTGTGTTTGGCTTAAATTTAATAAGATTCTTTTCAGCTGACAGCAGATCAATTGTATAACTTGATGGATTTAAGTGATATTGTGCACAGAGGAATATCAGCAAGTCCATCATAGGTTTACTGTAAAGTAAGAGTAATGACAATCATGAATGTTCATAAAACATAAAGGTAGCTTAAAAATCTAACTATAAGATACTGAAGCATATGAAAGTAAAGTAGCTAAAAACACACTGGGTAGTATTCAAGGAAGCTCAGGATCTAACGTTGGCTCAACAGTTGACTATATTTTTTCCTATCTTCCAAATAGCCTTCATGTTATAAATTTCACGAGAAGGTGTAGAAGTCACTTCCATATTAAAGAGCTGTCAACTCACTAAGAAGGCATTCCTTCACAATATTATCTGAAACACTGGTGGTCTTTAGCTTATGAGTAAGTTACATGAAAATTCTCTTTAATATGAAGTATAGGAAATAACAACAACAAAAAATCCCCACTTGGCTTCAGAAAGTACTATTTGAAGAAACTCAAAATCTCCTGATGAAAGCGGTACACATTTTTTAATTCATTCAAACTGTATTTATTCAACATTTCCTCTATACAGTACAAGTGGTATAACAATCTTGCCCTAGTGGTGCAGTGGTTAATGTATTCCACAACTCATGAAAGTTGGGAGCTCAAACCCACTATCCACTATGTGGCAGTCTGCTTCTGTAAAGATTTCCAGCCTAGTAAACCCTATGGGGTAGTTCTAATCTGTCAAGTAGAGTTGCCATAAATCAAAATCAGCTCAAAAACAGTGGGTTTGATTTTCGGTGTGAGATCTCCTAGACTCAACACTGGATTACATGGATTAGATGAAGGGATTACATGGATTAGATGAAGGGCTGGCAAATTACAACCTGCGGATCACAGTAGACCCAAAATCTTGTTGTTACATGCCATAGTGACTCATAGTGACACTATATACAATACCAAAAAGAATTAGTTGATGTTCAACCACTTGAGGAGTTAGTACACAATCAAGAACTTATTGCACTGAAGGAAGAAGTCTACACGGCACCGAAGGCATTAGCAAAAACCAGCCTCCAGAAATTCACTGAACACAAAATGAAACGTTTCAGCAAACATGCAGCACTGGCAGCACTCAACAGCTTATGCCAAGAAATCTGGAAGACACTTAGCTGGCCAACCAACTGTAAGGAATCCATATTTGTATTCCAAAGAAAGGTAACCTAACAGAATGCAGAATTTATTGAACAATATCATTACTATTGCATCAAAGTAAAATTTGGCTGAGGGTACATAAAAAATGGTTGCAGCGCTACACTGACAGGGAGCTGCCAGAAATTCAAGCTGGATTCAGAAGAGAGTTAGGACAAAGGATATAATTTCTGACAGATGGACCTTGACTGAAAACAGAGATTACCTGTGTTTCTTTGATGATGCAAAGGCATTAGATCACAACAAACTATGGATGTCATCAGGAAGAACAGGAACCCCAGAGCATAGAACTGTGATCACATGGAACCCGTATACAGACCAAGAGTCAGTTTTTTTTCAAACAGAGCAAGGGCATACTGTGTGGTTTAAAAATCCCTTCTCTATACTTTGTATGTTGAACAAACAATCCGAGAAGCTGGATTACATGAAGAAGAGCATGGCATCAGGAACGGAGGGAGACTCATTAACAACTTGCAACATGCAGACGACTGACACAACCTTGCTTGCTGAAAAAGTATAGAAGACTTGAAGCACTTGCTGATAAAAATCAAAGAATAATACAACCTTCAGTATGGATTACAACTTAATGTAAAGAAAACAAAAATACTCACAAGTAGACCAACAAATAACATCATGATAGATGGAGAAAAGATTAAAATGGCCAAGGATTTAATTTTACTTGTATCCACAATCAATGCTCATAGAAGTAGCAATCAAGAAATCAAACAACATATTGTATTAGGCCAATATGCTGCAAAAAGCCTTTTTAAAGTTTGACCTCTTTAAATTGTTAAACAAAGATGTCTTTTAAGTAAGCAACTACAGTATGCCTGGCCCATGCCTTAGTACCCGCCATTGCCTCATATGGGTGTGAAAGATGGACAATGAATTAGGAAGACCAGAGAAGAATTGATGCATTTGAATTATGGTGATGGTATAAAATATTGAAAGTACCATGACTGCTAGAAAAACAAGCAAATCTGTCTTGGCAGAAATAGAGCCAGATGTTCCTTAGAAATCAGCATGGTGAAACACTGTCTCACATATTTTGGACATGCTATCCTTTCAGTCCTTTCCTGTTCTAAAGTTATAATCGCATATAAGTTATTCCTCCTGATAATATTTATATAAATCTTAAACTTTTATTTGAATTCTTGAATTCTTTTTTCTGAGTGTTCCTTTGTTGTTGTTAAGTGCTGTTGAGTTGATTCTGACTCATAGAGATGCTATATAGCGTTTCTGAGGCTTTAAATCTGCTCAGGAGTAGAAAGCCTCATCTTTCTCCTACAGAGTAACTAATAGGCTCAAACCAAGGACTTCGTGGTTTGCAGGCCAGTGTTTAGTGTATGGAGCCACTGTGCTCCCGAGCATTCCTCGAGCAGATGAATACTTAGAGATTTGTCTTTAAACTCAGGAATTCAGTCTTCTATTGATTCAATTCTACGTCTGCCCTTTTAATGTATTTCTTTAGTGTTAGCTTAATATTCTAGCTTTCTAATTGCTGTTTTTGGATGATTTCCAGTTTCTCATTTACTTTGTCAGTTTGTTCTTGAAAGTATTTTTCTGTATTACTCTGGCTTTCTTCTATCTTTCTCTCAATCCACTGTGGGTACCAAAATATCATTCTTTTAAATTCCTTATCCAGTAGTTACATTATTTCTGGTATGATATTTTCTAAATTTTGGTTACTGCTTTGAAGTACTGCCTTGTTTCTTCATGTAAGCTGAACTTGTTTTCTCTGAGACACTGAGTTGTCATTATATTTATATTTAATTGATGATTTGATGTTAGTGTGTTCTCAGGCACTCACCACCTGTCTCCTGGTGGATGGGATAGAGACTGGAAGAGTGACACAATTCTTTGTTCACTATTTGTGGAGTGAATTCATGAGCCTTCAAAAGCAGGGTGGCACTCCTGGCACCTGACCTCAGGCAAAGCACTGACTGACAAGGAGGGATTGCCACTGGCCACTGGACCGACCACACCCCCAGCTACCTGGACGGTGAGGGAAGGAGTAACAAGGGAAACCCCTCCCTCTTTGCCACCAACTTCCAACCCCATTCTGTGCCTACAGACCACTCTATCCAGTCTGCTCCATGCCAGCTAACAGTCCACCTGGTTTTCTTTGCTCTAGCTTCTCCTGTTCAGTTCTTCTTCTAGTCAGCACATAATCCACCTCGCTGTCCTATCCTCTGATGCTAAGGGTTCCAGGACCACCATCTGTATCAGTTTTACTGGGCCTCACATGTCTTTGTTGTAGAAGATCTATCTGCTCAATGTGTCTGCCAACTCTGCCATCTTGCCCCCAAAATCTACCTTAATTTTTATACTAAAGTAACTCTACATGGATCAAATATATAAACGTGAGGATATTACAGTGTGGAGAAAAACAGAAACCAAATCTGTTTCTATTTAGCTATTTTTCTGGAATGGTACTGTTCAACAGAATTTCCTGCAATGATTTAATGTTCCTTATGTGTGCTAATATAATGTTTTGTTGTTAAGTGCTGTCAAGTCAGTTCTGACTCACAGGGACCTTGTATAGGGTTTCCAGGAGCAGCTGATGGGTTTGAACTGCTGTCCTTGTGGTTCTCAATCCAGTGCTGATTCTACACTACCACACCAAGAGTCCGTGCTAATATAATATCCACTTATTACAAGTGATGTGGCTATTGAATACTTGAAATACACTGAGCTAATGGCACGGATCGTAAGGTCAGTTTGAACCAAAATGTCAGCAGTTCAAACTCACCAGCTGCTCCTTGGAAACCCTATATAGACTCAGTGTGAGTTGGAACCAACTCAAGGGCATTTAGCAACAACAACAATGGACTGCTGGACTGAATCTTTAATTTAATTTAAATTCAAGTTAAATAACTGTATGTGATGAGTGACATCAGTAGTTCAAGCACATTGGATCTCAAGTTGCGATCCACTGACCAGCAGCATCAGCAACTCCTGGGAACTTGTTAGAAATACAGATCCTCAAGCCTCTGCAGACCAGCAAATCAGAAAGTCTGGGGCTGAAGCTCAGCAATCTGTTTTTTTTTTTTGTTGTTGTTGTTGTTGTTTTGTTATATATATAGCCCTCCAGCTGATTGTGATGCACACTATAATTTGATAGCCACTTATCTAGAGAGAAGAAAATAAAGTGGTAAATATAGAGGCTACTGATAGTGATAAGTGCTATGATGGAAAAAAAAAAGATAAGGAAATAGGTTAGATAATGTCTTAACTAAAAGATGGCATAAGAATTGGAGACTGGAAGGAGATGGTACTACCTGGGGAAAGAACATTCTAGGCAGCATTAATAAATACAAAGGCCTGAGGCAGGAGCTTACTGGAATGTTTTAGGGAAAAACAAAAAGGCAGGAAATCAGAATGATAATGGAGGTGGAAGGCTGAACAAAATCTCACAAAATTTGTTTGCATTTTTCTTTTAATATCAGCAGTACCTGTGGCTCTACATGGGTTTGTGATGAGTTGGAATCTACCTGATGGCAGTTTCCACCCCCCCTTTTTCTTTAATGTGTTAGTCTGTGTTGACATCACCAACTCTTTATTTATTTTACTTCCTGTTCACCAGCAGTACTACCATTATCCTTAAAGGACATTCGCAATGTTTAATCCCTTAGGCAGTGTGGGATAAGGAATAGGTTCGGCAGTTCAAACCCACTAGCTGCTCCTCAAAAAACCCACACACACCCACTATGAGTTGACAAGGATTGGAGGGCACTTAAAAACAACCACAACCCCTTAATTAGAAGACCAGAAGCAAAACATCTGAATTCCTGGAGGTCTCTCTGCTGAAAGAAGTTTCACAATTCATACTCCCTTACTTGCAGTTCAAGTTTCACAATTCATACTCCCTTACAGCAGTTCAAGTATCTGCTGATAA